CCGCCATCCGTCCCGTGATGTGGCTGAAATGGAAGCGTCCGGTTTCTGTCCGGGCCCGCAGCAAAAGCTCAGCGCCGCTGATCTGTCGGTCTGTGCGTTGCGGTCCCCTCCTTGCCAGTGTAGCCGGCAGAGCCAAAGAGCGTGTTTGGGCCAGTGTGGCAGCACGGGATAGTGACCTGCTCCGGGTAACGGCTGGGGCAGCACTTCCCCAGCACTGTTTCTGTTTTATGGCCTTTTAAGTGATAGACATTCACCTCTGGCCCGGAAAGGCCTTACAGTATGACATTTATGCTAGGGCAAGAGGTTTTTGAAATACTAACTGTGTGCATCAGGTTCATTATAGTGGCAAAACAGCCACAGTGCTGTTCTTTTGTTTGCTCTGGAGTTAAGGCTTATCTCCACAAAAGCTAAGCACATCATGGTTGCTAATTGAATAAAACTAAAGATGTGTTCTCATTTTGATAACTAAAATAAAAAAAAAACTTTCTGATTGCTAAATTGAGTTTGCAATACGTGGTGGAGGGCTCCTGAATCAGTGACTAAATATGCATGGATATCGAAGTTGCAGAGTGTGCAGTCAGCCTATGGTGAGGAATCAGAAAATCAAACTTGATAGTTTTTATTCTCTGATTTAGTTGCATGAACTCAAACCCAATGAACTTGAAAATTTGCAGTACTGTGCCACATTGAGGGCTGTGATCAAATAAGGTAGCATTTAGACAATAGATTGCTGTGCAGAGCTCTCTCGTCTCTGTAGATGAGAATTAACCTTTAAATGTGATTTCTTTTAGCAGTGTGCTCAACAAGCTGTTTTTTACAGAGTTGTTCAGATTTGCTTTATTTTGTAGGCTAAGTTCATTTCTGAGGTGCACAGCAAGGTGCCTTCAAATAATTCTTCCTGTTCAGAGACTCTGCTCTCCGGATCTCAAAAACACGCACCTAAAACTTGCCAATACTATGCTTGGTTTACCTATGTTACTTCCAGAGAGGAAAAGGCTGTTCTTGCCTGTAGGTCTACTGTGCTTTTACTTTAGGTGCTCAACAGTCTAGGAAAAAAGGAGCATTTAATCTAATTTTAGATGATGTTGAACAGAAAGTACTCTGCTGCTCTGTTTGCAGCTAGGATGTTGGTTACAGGAGTTGAATTTCGATACGCATACATTTGTGATGATTGCTTGAAGAGTTACATGTGGAACGCCTTTTCCACTGCACAGAAGACTTTTTGATGGATTATTTAGGAGACCCTCTTTGTTCCCGTTAGGGTTATCCAACCTATCTGCAATATGCGCAGCCTCAGTGACCCTTGTCATGGCTCACAAGTGATATTAAGAATTAATTTTATATATTAAGCTGCCTTCAGTGCGGGTAGTAACTGTAAAGATAAACCAGCATCTTGTACTGAGTTTTCTATCTGCAGGTCACAGTTTGGGTTGTTGTTTTGAATATGAGCACATAGGTAACGTTTCCTGTAGATGATTTGATGGGAGGTATCTGGTCATCTGGATTCACAAATGCCACATTATATGCCTTCTTGGATGCTTTTCTTTCCGCTGTACCTCTTGCCTTACCTTTGCAACAAGTGAAGAGCTTATTGTCCTTTGGCTATTTTGAGATTACCTATTTGGCATGACAATTGTGTGTTTGGACCCCAGACTTGTTCTGATGTTCATAACTACTCAAGGTAGCCATGATGCAATGGATTTCCACTGCTTCCTAGTACACAGTTCAGAAACATCACCTTATTCCTCACTTATAATGAAGGAGAAAACTTGATGTCTTCTTTCATATGGAAACTGCTTTGTGCTGCTTCTGCTCTTATTGACCCAATTAATTGAGACTTCCAGATATGTAAAGGCAAGATGTTTTAAAGCACATTGTTTGCCAAAATAGAGAAGTACTTTGTGTTTGCTGAAGAACTCCTTGAACACTAAATATGTCTGGGGAGTTTTATCTTTTGTACTTTCAGTTCTGTTCTCAGTATGTAATCTGATAGCCTACTGTGTCCATAAATGCTCATTTCCTACTGATTTATGTGAAGCTTTTTTTTTCCCCTCATTTGCATGGCTTTTACTGCTAACTGGAAATGACTGGTAGCCTTTTCTATGTCCTTATAATTTTCAAATAAAAGTTAACTTCCCTGGTTTTGTATGAAGAAACATGGTATGCCCTGAAATTCCCAAGCTCTGCATGTCTCAATGTCTTCAGTTGCTCACTAGCTTGTCGAGCTGATGACTTTTTGTAAAATTCCCATAAACATGCTTTTGCCCAGCAGGGCTTCACAATTTCACACATCTGTTGTTTCTTTGTGTTGTCCTCTGGCACACAGAAGCAATCATGCAGTTGTCCCACTGCTTGCACTGGGTGCTCTTTTCTGAAGAATGTCTTGTCAAAGTGCCTTCGTAAGTACTCTGCTGCCCTTGAGAGCAAGAGGAAAGATTTAGCATTCAAATACTTAATATGTCTAAGTCAGTTAAAGTTTTACTGACTGATCTTCTGCATGTTTTCATGCTTCTTTTAAAATTGCCGTTGTTTGTATTCAACTGTAAAATGCAGGTGACGCTGCTTTCAAATGCTTCAAAAAAATTAGTGTATCCTTAAAGTAGTTACTCAGTGACACAGTTACTCCTCTTTGTACTATCAAAGCTGTCAGAGTAGGACATGGAGGGGGTAGTGGAGTCATGTTGCCTTGCGAGCTGTGGGAACAAGTGCCTGTTTGCCAAGGGTCAGCGTTAATTATTTGTAACTAAAGCCTGGAATCAATGACCACTGTTTCTCCTACAGTATTGAAAAAGCTGTTTCTGTGCAGTGAAGCAGTCCTTCCAGAGAATCAGTTGCTAGATAAGTTACTCAAACCTGTGAAGCTGGATTTGGGACTTGGTTCTTTGATGCCCAAAACCTCCCAAACCCACTTGGAGATAAATGAACACTTAGTTACTTAATTTGACTTACTTCTTTTGGGATATCCAGCAAATGGATGGATCTGTTTAATTTTCACAGAGAAGTCTGACCTCTAAGATACGTGCTACAAGTGTGGTAATAACTGAAGAGCTGACTATTTTGAAACCTCTGTTTTCTTGGAAGTGGTGGTGAATTAGTACTAATGCAGGTGGTAAAGGATCTGTAGGTTTCAGTCTTTGATTCAGTGCATGTAGTTCTCTCCCTGGCATTTCTGCATATGTTGGGCTTTAACAGTTTGGAAAAAAAGTTTTCATTATTCAGGATCTTCTGATGCTTTGATATCTTGACTTCAGAGGAAGGTATCAAGGTACATCTAATTAAATGTTAGAAAACCTCTTCATTTTCTCAGTTGCTCTCCATGTAGATGATGCTGCATTCTCCAAGAAAAACATATTTGCTGTCTACTTGGGAGTTTCTTGTTGCATCCTGGAAAAAAAATGCAATACAAGCAAAGCATTGCAAATACCTTTGTAACTAGAATACTTGTATGTGGTTCACTTGGCTAATTGTTCACTTGATTAATTGTAGTGGAGGGCGTGTGGTATGAAACAGCAGTTCAGATGTGTATGTCCTTTTAAATGATGAAAGGTTGACATATCTATTTTTTTCTGCATAACAAAAAGCTGTATTCTGGTAGCTGTTGCAAAGTAGCCAGCAAGCAGAAATCCACATGGAAGCTTGATTTGTAGCAAGAGGTCAGAGGTTTTGAACTCTTGTTAGGGAAGCTCAGGCTCTTTGACTGTTTTAGTTCCTCCTTTGTATGACCAAGTGTACATGGTCTTGTGTAGAAGATTTAGCTTGAGAATTAAAGTCTTGTCTTTTTTAAGAACACCAAAATTAAAATAAAACAAGACCCTACAACTAAATAAACTGTTGTCTTAGGGTACTTTGGAAATGATGAAAAATTATGAGCACTGTAGTGTGTCAGAGAAGTATGTTTATTGTGCACTGAGGTGTTTGTAGTATGAATAACTGTCATGTTTGCCTTCTTCCTTATACTTGTTAGTCCTGCGCCGTCTCAGCTTGTATCCTATGAGCTGATCAGACAGGTCCTCTTGAAGGAACACGTGCCTTCAAATGAAGAGAAGCAAAGCAATGACCTCATTGCAACATCTGTTACAGACACTTGGGATGTGAATCAAGGAGATGGGGGTGACATGTGTATGTAAAAGGCTCTGTCATCTGTAGTTTGAGAACTCTAGAAAAAAATGAAAACATTTCTGATCAGACATTTAATTTGGAGTTGGGGTTGAAAGGTGTCTTAGTCACTTAGGACAGTACAACTTCAACCTTTGAAAAACCTTGTGAATACCTCCTCAAGGTATGAAACCCATGGTGTTTCATCAATACCCTTCTCAGGTCCTTGTTGTTACTGTGTGTTCAGCTTAGCCAAATCCCAAACCTGAAAAGCAGGAGAAGGAAGGGCTGCTTTGTTTTATACTGAACTCCAAAACTGCATCTACAAGGTCAAAGTAGCAAGACTCTTGATTATTTTTTTTGAGGGCTTTTCTAGTTATTAACTTAGTGTTTCCTTCCATAATGATTGTTTTTATTTGTGTCTGTAAACTGACATTTTTATAATCAACCATGTAAAATAATCAAGAAAACAAATAACAAGAAAGGCTTGCCCCCCAGTGATGGGATTCTCTGTGCACTTTGTGCTGCAGAGGACAATTAATAACTTTTAGTGAGCAACTTCCTCTTTGGCTTCTGACTTTGCAAATTAAATGCTTTATTCAGGAAATGCTTGTGGCCATTATAGCAATTAACTGGAAAATGAAGTATTCAAGGTCAGTTTTGAGATATGTTACAAAGGGAAGTGGAAGATAGTTGGCGGTTGCTGTAGCAATGTAAAGCTAAAAAATGACCAAATTAACTGAATCCTATACAACATCTAGGTTGCACTAGCCAGGGTTCCAGTAGCAGCAGTATGAAGCACAGGCTACTAAAAAACACATTGGATAAACACAGACTCCTTCAAGGTGTTCAGATGCTCTGAAAAATGCCATGCACCTGTGAATTTGGATGTTGGAAATAGCAGATCTAAAGCATTACTTCTAATGAGGTGCATAAGCAACAGTTGTCTGTTAAATATCAGAGGGATAAAACTAAGTAAGTTGTTTGTTTGTTTTTAATGTTTAGTTGAGTATGGAATAATTTTCTGCAGTACCAAAATCCTGAAAATGGAACAAAAAAGTTTGGGGTTATTTTTAGTTCCGAGTGCTTAAAAGAGAGAACATCTCTGCCGTGTGAAAGCAGGGATTAATATTAAAGATGCTAAGTTGTGGTCTTAGGACCAGGATTACTGCCCATCATCTGCACAGTGAGTAGCATCTTCTAGAACTGCACAGAGCTTGCTGCACTCCAGTGCAGGTCGCAGTAGTTGAAACATGGCTTTGGGAAAGATCTGTTGTCCCCTCACATCACATCTGTAGTTGATTTCCTAAGCTATGGTGCAACACTATAAGAAACATATCTGAATAACCAGGTTGTAAGCCCAGTAATTTTTATTTATTTATGTACCTTTTCAGGTGTTGGATGGACTTTCTGAAGTCTGGACCACAGTTAGACTATTTGCTCTTTTTACTTCTATTATAGACAATATCTGTCTAATAATTATTCAACTGTGTGGTTTCAAAGAATGGGAGAAACATTAATCAAGTTTTTCAAAGAAGTAGATTATGTAAAACTCATTCAAGAATTTAATCTTGGGTATGTGTGTGGGACCTGAAGTGAATGAGAAAAACTCAGGCCTAATATGTTAAAAGAAGGAAATTACTGTTGTTCCCCGTTTCCCTTGTGCTGGTGCATAGTGCATAGTGTGCTGGTTCTAAAAAGACAGAAGCTATTTAAAACTGAAGAGGACGGTGTTTTCCCCGGTGTAAGGCTGGCGTCCCTGGAGAGAGCGGTTGCTGGGGCCGGGGCAGGGACCGAGGTCAGCGGCCGTGGCTACGGGGTGGGGGTGGCAGCCTGCAGCACCCTGGTCAGCGCCCGGCAGCCGCGGGACAGCCCCGACCCCCGCCCCCTGCCCACCGCCGCCTCGCGGTGTGGAGTCAGTCCTTGACCTTGGATTTGAGGTTTGAAAAGCCTTATCTTTTCCACACGTGTTGTTTACAGAGGTCAGTCACTGAGGCGATGATTACACTGAAGTGTGACTCCGTGGAAAAGGCCAACAGATTAAGAGGAAATGACAGCCGATGAGCAGAGAAACCACATGGAGGCTGGGATTGTAGGCTGCCTTAATTCTGTGGTGTCTTATGGAGGGGGCGAGAGGGAAGATGTCAGTCTGCTGCCTTCCAAAAATACTCAGGACAAGGGAAGAAACTAAAATTAAGGAAAAGTAGGAAAGAAAAGCAGTCACATTTATCGAAATGGATTAAGGAGAAACAACCAAGATCTGCAGCGGGGAAGCTGGAAAGAGAGAGAGACTGGGAAGTGGCAGTATAGAAGTGTTGAAAAAAGTTTTCAAGCAGTTACTTCACAGTGCCCAGAGCCATTAAGAGCTGATGAACCTGATGCAGCAGGGCAGGCTGGAATCTATTTGGGATTACAAGTCCAAGATATCAGGAGAAAGTTCAGGTCACAAGAGAATCAGACACTGAGCTAGAGACAGCTCTCTGCCTTACTGCAGAACTAGGGCCAAGCACAGCTTTCTGACTCCCTGGAGTTGTGGGGTTTGTGACATTACAACAAGTGAAGTAAATCATCAGTACCTTTAGTGTTAGCTTTAACTGAGGGAAAAATAGTCTTGACAGTCTGCTCTGACTGTTGGTGACAACTTGTATGTTGTTACCAAAATATGTACTGCCTATTTTGCATTTGGGTTAGACACAATCTGTCTCAATGGTGTCATCCTGAGGGGTTGTTAGTGAATGCTGAAGGAACAACTGCAGTGTTGGAGTCATACAAGACATTATTCTGAATCATACTGTGTCCATAGGACATGTGGTCACTTCACAGTTTCTTCTTGCATCATTCTTTTCAAGCTGGAGGATTCAAGCCCTAGCATATATATGTATGAGACTATGCCAGCAACTTCTTTTCATTATGCAAAGGGACTGTTTTTCCATGCATTCTGGTTTTGGTTTGGGGTTTTTTTTTTGCCTCAATGTGACATTAAACCATGAGAAGATGCTTCTCCTTATTCCATAAAAGGTTGAGATGTAGATGTATGTCTTAGAGGGTTGGGGATTTCTGTTAAACTCATGTGTTCTATGTCAACTGTAGTATTTCTGGAAACATATCTGCATGCTTATGTACATGGGTTGAAAAAGTGTCTAGAACATGAGTTTTCTTGAGCACATCAGGTAACACCACAACATCTGAGTACTGACCTTCTAAACATTTCTTGAGATACTTTGCCTTCTACAACATTTACATATTCACTACTACACTAATGTAATTTTTTTCTTTTTTTCCCTCTCAGAAGGTGATGTAGATATTATCAGTTTCTAAAGTAACATTTGTGACTCTGAATACCTCTTTCTGACATAGTATCTAATATTCTTGGTGTCATGTTATTTGGGTTTTTTTGGTCATAGGAAGTGGATTTGGAAGAAAGACTTGGCGAGTTGGATCTTAGGAATGATTCAGATATTCCTGATATTCCTCCACCAACAGACAGCACTCCAGAAATCCTCAAAAGGGCTTTGTCAGGCTTGTCTGCCAGGTATGGTAAAACTAACAGCTCTGAAATGTAATAGCTGCTAGCTAAAATTCTTACAGATGATATTGCAGGTTTAAAATTCATGTGATACACATGAGAAGGATATTTTTTTACTGCATATCATTATTGATTTATTTGTGCTTTGATAGTATCTTAAGTGTAACAGGTTTTGCATATACCTGAAGATTGCCCATTGCATGTATTTCTACATAAACTGCTGCATGCACTTAAAGATTTGCTATTGCTCAGTCTAAGTGTTGCAATAAAATGGGCTGAAGAATAGTATTTGGGTTTGATATTCAGAAAAACTATTTATGGGGGTTATAATAAACCAATTTCCTACATCCAAGGTTAACGGCGGAGGGGGGGGTGTGGGGTGGATGGAGCATCTGTGCATAAATGAAAGGGGAGGAAGTATAAATCCTCTGGGTGAGCTTTGCTAGCTTTTTGTGACAGCACTTCCATTTCTAAGTAATTTTTCTTTGCAGTTAAATACAACATAGCTTTTATTTTCTTACCTTTTAAAGCCATGTTTATTTTTTCCTGCTGTTTCTCTTTTTAAACCTTGGTTTCTGCCTCCAACTCCTGTTCACAGGAACTTACGGGCTAGCAAGTGTGGGAGTATGTGTTTGTGTATGGATAGACAAATCGTCATGGGGACCTGCATGTTCATGGAAACTAACAAATCAAGTTCCTGGTATAATTGTTTATACAGTCCCTTTACAGCACTTGATCAGTCAAGCCCTTTTGGAGACGGCAATTCACATTACTTGTTTTTCACTAATGCAATGAAGAAGCATTTAGATGTGTGGTAAATCACACACCAAATAACTACCTAGTTAAATGAATGTGTGTATCTTGTATACCTCATGCTCAACATAACAAATCAAGTAATAAATAATGTATATTTTAGATGCAACTTAGGTCTTGCAAGAGTCAGAAGAAGGATCTCCAATCCAGACTATGATTAAAAACTTCCAGGTCCTTGTAAAAACACTGATCTCCAATAGAGGTGTGAAACTACATGTTTTTGACTTGCTCCTTTTCTAATCTGTTGTCTGTTTGTGTGGTGATGTCTGGTAGCTATAAACAGACATATTGTTCGCAGGTTTCAAAAAGCATGTGTCTAAACTGCACCGGCTGCCACCAGAACGCGGTGTTCTCTACTGCCATCACACTGCAGGGAGTATCCTGTTACTATCACTTTTGGAGTTCTCTTGCCACGTTAAATGTTGTGGCAGTCTTAGGTCTCCAAATCAGACCTGTTCCAAAGGGCACTTGCATGACAATTCTTCAAAGCCTGCAACTAAGAGGCGCAGGTGAAACCTTTCCTGTTTCATATGCTTGAAACTCTTTATTGGAGTGTTTGCACAAAGGTGCTTTGAGTGCAAAGTTGAATTCTTGGTGCTTTATGAATGTTAGATTCAAAATTACCCACTAGGAAGGTTTAATAACTGGCAGTCCTACCAGAGCTGTTGTCATAATGTGCAATGTGAGTTACACTGTAGCTCCTGAAAATATTGTTTCTCTTTGCATTCCATCTTTAGAGAAATAGTATCTGTAACTTTCCAGTGGTAAGTTAGGATATAGCAAACTTGTCAGGTGGCTTCCTGGATTCTGGAGCTTCTTGTCTTACTTTACCAAATCTCTCTTTCCAGCAATGCACTTGCCAGGACCCTTAAGATACTATGTGATATTTTAACGTTATTCTTGAGGGAAGCCAAATACTTCTAAAGGAGTCTTGCTTACTATAGATATGTCAATGGGAGTGAGCTGCTACTCCATAGCCCATGTCACAGAGGAACTGAAAGCATCTGTTGCAATAAAGTCCATTGTGCCTTTGCTCTGATACTTAGGGCAAATCCAATTAGTGGCTTTAGCTGCCATTAACCTGCTGATGAATAACATCCCTGAAAAACAAATTAAAGTTTACATTACAACTGGAGTATGATGCAAAACTAGTAGTGTCCCCTGAATCAGGTGTGTCTCCTGGTGCAGTGATGAAACACAAGACTGATAAAAATGTGAAACATTAGAAAGAATGGCTTTAAGCTATAGTAGGGTGGTTTTTTTTGTGTTTAGCAGTAATTTGTGATTAGTTGGTTCAATGTACTTTAATTTAGAGGCAAAATTCCTGAACGGAAAAACACAGTCAAAAGAGGAGAAAAATTTATTGAAAAGTGATATGAACAGTAAAATACAGACAATTGATAACTAGAAACATTTTCATGACATCATGGAGCTTGTGATGAGGGTTTTTAAAAAAATAATTTAAAATAACTGGACTCTTGATATTTCTTTGATGCTGACCTTTGGGGGTATAAAATAACATTTTTAGTTACTGTAGAAATTAGGAAAAAAATAGCAAATACTTCCCAGTTGTTTGGGTTGTTTTTCTTTTAAAAAGAACTCTTATTCTTTGAAAGAAGGTGTTCACGATAACAACAATTTCTGTTCTGCTTTCGTTAGGTAGCCACAAACAGCTGCAAAGATATTCAAGGGCAAAAGAGTACAACTAGTTTGTCCTATCACCCCTCCTTGTCAGCTGTGTTCCTGTCCTGGTTCTAGTGCTCACAAGACTACTTTCAATAGACAACCCCCTACCTGGCAAAACAGCTGCTTCTCCAACACAGACCACAGTCAGTGATCACTGTTTTTTTTTGTCTGTTACTCCTCAAAACCAGTATGCTTTTTACCTGGCAGCTTTTCTTTCATATGTGAGCTTTTACATGGCCAGGCCCCCATCAGTCTTGCTGATTATGTGATGCTTTTTCAGAGTCCTGATGTATTTTCACAGCAGCTTTAATATGGAGTCAATCCATTTAATTGCAGATGATTTTTGGGGAAGGGGTGAAAGCACGGGAAAGAAGAGAGGCAGCTAACTTTAATTTCTTTTACTGTGTATCCTGTTCAGTTGGATAATTGGTTGTTTCTGTGATTTTTGCTATGTGTTTTATTAAGCACCAAAAATTCTGGGACTCCCACCGTTTCTAATACACTTTAGTTAGTAAAGGAAGTGGCATTGATATTAATTTATAACTGGTTGCTTTTTTTTTGTAATAGATGGAAAAATTGGTGGATTCGTGGAATTCTCACTCTAGCTATGATTTCTGGGTTTTTTCTGACCATATACCTGGGATCATTTATGCTGATGCTTCTGGTAAGTTTGTTTAAATACACAATGCCGTGCAAGAGTTACTTCATCTCTTCATTCATCGTGCATAAGACAGCTGAGAGCAGACTGCACAGACAATTCAGAGCAATTTGTCTTGCATTTGTGTAAACGTAAATACTTTTGAAAAATACTGGACAGATTGACAGTTAGACCTTGTGGATCAAGAACTTCTTATATACTTAAATTAATATTTTTTTAAGTAGGAATTAAAGTAACTCTAATATGAACAATTGTTGCCTTTAAGTTTAAGAAACTACTGTCATGTATTTGCTTGTCCAGTTCTTATCACCTACTGTTACAGTCTTTGAGATTTGTTTAAAAAAACTAAAAATGAAGACACAAGAATTTAATTTTTTGAGACTGAGGAGAGCAGGCAGATTTTATCTGCTGGCTGTGACTGGCACTAAAAGGCTTTCCTCAGGCAAGCTTCATTAATTCGCCACTTGTCTACAGGCCTGCCTTGTGGCCTTGGGTTTATCTGTAGATTGGAGCTAGATCCAAGGTACAGAGATTGAATGCACTTTTAGGTTATGAAGTGAGCAAATATAATGATGATGATGATGTTCACACACCCTGCATACCTGGTCAGCCTTTACTCCTTCTTTCTATCATTTTCACTGCTGGTACTTTTACTGAATAATGGTTTAACTATCTTTCCCAGTCATGGCGAGTAACAGGCAGGGATGTAGCTTCTAAACACTGAAAATAGTACTTGTGGGTAACTGCTTCGATCTTTGACTGTAAGTTTGTCTAACTCTCAAAATGTGCTTTTATTTTTTCATGGCCTCATGTGTAACACCTTTTGGATTGCATTGTCTTGAGAGTCTGGAATGTTGTTTCACCAGTATTATGGTCTGGATTACAGTCTCTGCATCTGAATTAATCTGGTTTATATTTCCTGTTTTTAGAGGAATGACATGACAAACTAGTAATTCATTGTTTCATTGGTGAAGGATTTTTTTTGCGTGTGAGGAAACCAGTAAAAAAGCCCCTTAAAAAGTATAGGTCTTTGTAAAGAGATTTATTTTTTTTCCAATCCTTCCTTTAGTAGTCTGTTACACTTAAGAATTATGATAACTGACTAATTGAACTAATCAATTTGCAGTGTGATTTGGTATTGTTGTGGTTCAACCCTAGCCAGCAACTAAACCACACACAGCTGCTCAATCACTGCCTTCTGGTGGGATGGGGGAGAGAATTGGAAGGGTAAAAGTGAGAAAACTCATGGGTTAAGATAAAGACAGTTTAACAGGTAAAACAAAAGCCGCACATGCAAGGAATTCATTTGCTACTTCTCATTGGCAGGCGGGTGTTCAGTCATCTCCAGGAAAGCAGGGCTTCATCATGCATAATGGTTACTTTGGAAGACAGAAACCATCACTTTGAATGTCCCCCCTTTCTCCTCTTCCCCCAGCTTTACATGCTGAGAATGACATCATATGGTATGGAATATCCCCTTGTTCAGTTGGGGTCAGCTGTCCCAGCTGTGTCCCCTCCCAACTTCTTGTACACCCCCAGCCTACTCACTGGTAGGGTGATGTGAGAAGTAGAAAAGACCTTGACTCTTTGTCAGCACTGCTCAACAATGATGAAAACATTCCTGTATTATCTTCACTGTTTTCAGCACGAATCCAAAACATAGCCCCATACTAGGAACTATGAAGAAAATTAACTCTATCCCAGCCAAAACCAGAACAGGTATATTCATTATATACTCAGAGATTGCAGCCACAGGCAAAGCTGTCAAGAGATGAATGAAAAGGTAATTAAAGTTCATATAGAATGGGAGTAGAGTTCTTCCTCTTTTGTACCATAAAGCAAAACCTCCTTCTTCTAGTATAATAAACTATTTTATAAAGTTGACCTTTAGGACTACCTAAAAAAGAAGAATTGAGGGGAAAAAAAACCATTTTTGTTCACAAATTATTTCATTTAACTGGAATTAGCTTACATTTAGACAAAAGTTGTGGTGCTAAACACAAATCTTAATAAGAGACTGAACATGCCCAGAGACTTGTAGGAAGGGTAATCCAGTGAAGTTTGGAGGCCAGGCCCTGAGACTGCTCTAAAACATTGGGAGGCATGTTTTACGGTTGCCTGTTACTAAGATAACCAACACAAGCTTCCATGCCTTTCAACCCTGGCATCCTTTTCCACTGTAAGGTGCAGTCCTTTAATGTTGCTCTTGCATGTAGCATTTAAGTTTTATAATGTAGGCTGAGCAGAAGAAAAAGCATGAGGTGGTAGGGCTTCAAAATTAAATCACTGAGGTGGTATAATACTGCTTAAACTGTATTTATGTGTCGAGCACAGTGAAATGTATTCATGATTGCAAGTAGTAAGAGAATACTGCGAAGCCTAGCATGCCAACATACACAGTTGACGTGGGTAGGCTCTTACTCCTGCATCTGCACAGGATTACTGATGACCTGTGTTTGGCAGGACTGGATATCTGGGCAGGGCGGTCTGCTTGGTGGCTGTGTGTTAGACAAAACTGACAGAGTCTCCTTTGGAGCACAGACTGACAGGACGTACCTCCAGAGTTATACGGACAAGCACTGAAGTAGTGAGATCAAAACAAATGAAGGTCATAGAGGGTGTGACATTCAGACCTGGGTTAGATGAGCTTTGCTTCTTCTCATCAATGCTAATTGTCAGTGTAGACTTACCCTTAATGAGGTGCTTGCAAGTGGAAGACCTGAGTGTCCAAGTTGAATTGCACAACTAGTTTTTTCCATTGCATCTAGAAAATACTTATTACACTAAATTTAAAGATGAAACTTAGCCTAAAGAGATTGAAGAGCCTACTTTACAGCAAGTACTTTTGACTTGCTGGTGGCAAACAGTTTTATTAAAGTTGGGAGCTTTCCCTTGTTTCACGAGCGTATTCTTGCAGCTAGCCCAATGTGCTTTTTTTCAGCATGTCTAGTGGTTTTGAGGGTTTTTTTGAGGGAGTGGGTGGAGTTAAACAGAGCTTAAGTTTTCCTTGGACTTGTTTTGAAGCTGTATGTTTTCTGTGTGGAATTTGAATTCAGAAAAATTTCTCCCCTTAATGCAGGTTGCATTAAAAACCAGATGCAGAATATTTATATAGTTTTTATTTCTCTTAATTTTAGGTCCTAAGCATCCAAGTGAAGTGTTACCACGAAATCATTACTATAGGTTACAGGGTCTACCACTCATATGATTTACCGTGGTTTAGATCCCTCAGCTGGTGAGTAGCAAGCAAGAACATTAATAAGTGGAGATGTGAAACTTAAATCTTCATGTTCTTCATAGCCTGTTATGGTGGAATGATAGCTTTGTAGGTTGTGTGTGACCTGAAAACCTGACATCTGTCTCTGATACAGGATTCTGTAGTTGTCTTCCACCTGTGAACTTGAACAAATCAGTTGGCCTTTTACTACTTCAGTTTTTCCCTTGTTACATATATATATATATATGTACACATGTATGCATGCATATATGCTTTAAGTCATAATTGGGCATGTGTAAGCTATCTAAAAATGTGCATAGTCAAATAATCACCTAGTCTCCTGATCTGTATTACCTGAACTGCTTTGATTATTTTTTTTGGCTGTTAACGTTGCACAATAAATAAATATTTATTAGGTACCTAAAAGGCTTTTCTTCACATATAGAGGATTTAAATAATAACATACATGTTTTAAGTACTTTCCAATTGTACACTTAATCGTAGGACTACAGAAGTAAGTGTTGAGAAGTCTTCTGAAAGCCAAAAGACAAGATTAATTCTTCTGGAAAATCCTAGATAGCTGTGATAATGTCGTGCTTACATAGAGCTGGACAGAACATGAGAAATCAACTCTTCTTCTGAGTTCTGGGAGGAAAAATAAATGCTTTTCACTAGAGTCAGTGTTATGGGAAGATATTGGGCACATGTAGTCTCTAAGGTGCTTGAGGACAGAATTCTTCAGACATGAACTATATTTTATTTTTGGTTTTCTGTTGGTTTTGTTTTTTTTAAGGATTTGAAATATCTAGGTTATTCCCTGCCTCTTGTCACATTAGCTTCTTCAGTTTTTGAAGCAACTTTACTGTGTAATGTGGTGGATTCTTGCTGTTGGCTCTTTTTGTAAATGCTAATCAGTTCCCCTCTGGTCGCTCCTGGATCATCCAGGAGACTGATCCATTGTCTGCTTTATTCCATGGCTTCTGGATCTACAGCTAGAGCAGACTCATACAGGAATGGTTCTGCAGTCTTGCCAAAATTTTCAGAAGAGGAGATGAACCATCTACCATTTAGTCTACTTTGGCAGTTGACCACCATCACTGTCCTATGTGGAGCTCAGAATGATCTCTTCTGCATTGCCACACTAGTTAACATAAAAGCCCCTTTCAGCTGAACATCTCGCCGCTGAGACTAATCAAGACATTTCAGTGAGATGGGAGAATCTTGTTAGGATTCTAAATAAACTATTTGGCTTATTTAGAGATGTGAAACCTTGCAAAGTGAGTGTAAACATCTACTGGAAGGGAGAGAATGAGTACTGATCCCTCTGAGAATATCTGGAGATCCAGTCTTGAATCACAAGTTTTTATCTTCTGTGACTGACTTTAGTAATCAGCTGAAGAGTATGTTGCCTAGAGAGGTGCATCTCTTAGTGCTTTTGGATTTGCTATTTATTGTTTCTATTTGAGGACTGCCTTGGCATTTGAGGATCCCATTGTGATTTAACTCTAGAAAGTAACTGAGCTTGTGTGAAAATCTGTCACAGTATTACTTGCGTACTGTCTTGACCGAAAGCAATTTCTTTAAAGATCCTTCAGAAACAGATGGCTGAAGGTGACATTTCACCTCAGTTGAACCTTGGGTGTGGACATGCTCCTACAAAATAATTTTGAAAAAGTTGTAGTAACAGCTGCATTTACTAGTTAGTTTTATGGATTTGACCTTGTAAGATTATTGCTCAGTCAAGAAAGCTGAACGATGAAGTGCGTGGTGAGCAGGAGATGGAGCAGTAACACTTTCAGATGAGAATCTTCAGGCCAGAAGGCAAAAGCAGAGTTACATTCAAATCCTCAGGCCCCATGTCAGATTCACTGTCCTATAACCTCAGAGCTTTCCTTATGCAAGTACCTTTTTTTCCTGTTTGTAAGGCAGAAATTACAAGCTACCCTTATTATGATATAGGAAAAGAATGTGCAGAACTGCTTGTGTCAATATTGATGACAGCAGATGCTTGTTCTGTACTTTTAGAGTATCTGAAAAGGGCTTGCATAGTTATGGAGTGTTAAATACGGTAGTTGAGGATGAAATGAATTTTCCAACTGTATCCTTATACAAAGTATGTTTGTTTTTTCTACCACAGTTCCTTTAGAAAAAATAAATTACAAAAATGGCTTGTTAGGGGAGACACTGACCCAGAAGTATAAGACTGGATTTATACTTGAATTTTATTTTTCTCACATATTTTCTACTTCTCTGTTTTTCCTTTTGTGTGATTTTTTTTTTTTTGGTGTGTGTGTGTTTGTTTTATTTTTAAGAATGACACTTAGATATCTATTATCTTGTTAAAACAACTGCTAACTGTTGTGTATTGTAGGTACTTTTTGCTGTGTGTGAACTACTTCTTTTATGGAGAGACTGTAGCTGATTACTTTGCTATGTTTGTTCAGAGAAGAGAGCAGCTTCAATTCCTAATTCGTTACCACAGGTTTATATCTTTTGCACTCTATTTAACAGGTAAGTGTAGGAAATTGCAAAAATGATAGAACTTTGTGCTGCAGTTGTTTCTGTGCTTATTTGTTTAGAAAAAAATTGTTCCCCGACTGTATACACTTTCAGTTTATTTTTCCTCTTGATGTTCAAGGAAACTTGGTGTTTACAGTTTCATATTTCCTGTGAAAAGATTAATATAAATTTTGCATTCACTGAGAAAGGAAGGCAGCCTACACAAGCAGAGAAAATTGAGCTAATAGTGCTCAAGAGAAGTTGACATGAATTAATTTTGGTGGCTGAAGAACTTGGGCTCAGTACCTGAATATATGAATACTGTTCTGACCACCTATGGAGATGACCTGTATGTGTAATTGCTGTGCTGGGTCGATGCATTATTGTGCAAGTGTTCTGCTAAGTCTACAGCAATATATTTGAAACTGATTATTCAAAATTCTTGAAGTTTTATTTTGTCTGCAAGATATTAAGATGTTTGCCTCATGGATAGATTTTTCTCCTTATCCAAAGATTTTTTTTTTAATTTTGTTTTTTTAAAAAAAGCCTCTTCTCTAGGAAGAAGAAACATAAGCTGGCAGTCTTATAGGGTATTGCTTTGTAAGCATGTAAATATAGTCCCTGATGTTTTCAGAAATGCAATTGATACTAATTTAGCCTAAAATTAAATCAATTGAAGACTCAGATTGGCCTAAGGGACAGGAGACTGCTATACTACAACTACTTCTAAAATATATTAAGAAACCTGATCTTAATGAAGAACTGTCAGTCCATCTACTACTAATTTTTTCAAACAAGACAAAAATTCTACTCGATGCTTAGATTGCAAACTAGAAAGCAGCTTTGCAAGACTTGACCTTTTCCAGCTGGCTTTGCCCTGAGGAAACTAACTTGGCTAATGCCTCGTCACTGCTGAAAGGCAGCGAGGGGAGAGATGAGACATGCCAGTCATGAACAAAAGTGGCAGCAGAGCATAGCAGAGCCCCATGGTGGCTGTCACACTGGGATTGTGGGCTCACTGAGGGGCTGTCCCCAGGGTTAAGGGTCTTTTGAGGGCCTCTGATGCCTCCTGGTGCAGGAAGTTGCACTAAGGTAAAAGAGGTGTTCTGTTAGCACCCCAGAACCAAAGGTCTTTAAGTTTCTTTCAGTCAGTTGAATTCTCCAATGTCTGCACTTCACAATTGTGTCAGGCAATGCAGCTGTATGCCTGTCTGGGGGAGAGTGGCAAGCTAGTTCCTTTCAGTTATTTCTGTTAATTACTCAAAATCGACCTGATTTTTGAGAGGTTTTTAAAGGTGATGGTCTCCTCCCCTAAAAATTGATGTGTGTGATGGGCCTTGTAAGTAATGAAATGGATGCTCTTTAGTGATGTTAACTAAATCTCATGCTCCAATGAGAATATTTCTGTATGTATACTTACTGAATACAAACAAACACTCCTAGCAGCAGAGGAATGAAAAATTGCTTCAAGGGAAGAGAATTACTAGTATATTACAATTCAGTGTAATGACATATAAGATGGTACAAACTACACTTGCTTTGTTTTACAGGCTTCTGCATGTTTGTTTTGAGTTTAGTGAAGAAACATTATCGTCTGCAGTTTTACATGGTGTGTATTACCCACTTTGCTGTGGTCATTCACGTTCTGAATGTCACTAGAAACAGTCATGTTCATGAAATAGCTTGGAAGAGGGGTGTAGAAAATGTGCTTAAACCAACAGTAATGTGAAATCAAGTCATGTTGGGCTGCTTGGTATCTGTTCACATTGTGGCTTGTTATTACTATATCATGAGATACAGTCTTTCAGTAAATACAAGCCATTGTTGGTGAGGCCTTGTACGTATGCAATATGCTATGTTTCCCTTGGTGACAGTCTGGTGTGAAAGGGGTGTGCATGCACCTCCCAGGTCTGAAGCCAAATACATTCAGCATAGCATGGAAAGAGGTTCTTGTGACTCAAGTCACTTTGTAGAGGCCCCACTGAAGAGCTATGGAGGCAGCTTAATCTTAACCCCTACGTGCAAGATTTATTCTGTGAAACTTAACAGCAGTTCTGGTCTTGTGCTCTGCTGTGCCCCAGAAGATCATTAATCTACTAAAAGAACAGTGTTTTCATCTCTTTTGATGGACAAATCATTGGATGAACAAATATCCACCTAATAAGCAGCATAGTAACTAATCAAGAACGTGAACTTTTTATGTACCTTACAGATTGAAAACTAATTTTGTAACATCACAGGTAAAAACCAAACAAAAACAAAACCAAACAAACAAAAATCCAACCCCAAACGAAAAAGCCTCCAACCCAACCCCCCAAAAAACCACCATGCACCCCACCCTTCCTTCTTCTGTACAGGGATGATTAGAAGCAACAGTAAAACAGTAATGCAGTTCAGCTCCTGTCTTTAAAGAACCTGAGCCGTCAGGGCATTGCGCAACCTTAAAGATTTCATAAAGCTCTGGAGCTGCAATTCTCTTTTTCTACAATGCTTTAGGTAGCACTTTACAATTGAGGATCTCTAACTCTGGATTAGGACTTAGCTGAGCCCTGTATGAGGGTGAAAAAATATATATCTTTTACTCAAAAAAAATTTACCTTGTTTGTGGGAGAACTTGCCTGACAAGGAGATGTAGCTTTTCTAGGAGAGGTCGTCTTTATCTTCTAATCGACAAAGTGCTCATCTTTAGATTGGTACAAGGTAAATATATTAAATTTTCACTTTTTCCTTTTTGTTTCCATCCTAGAAAGAATGTAGAAAAAAATGTCATATCAGTTATATGACTTAGTGCCAGCCCAGAAAACATTAAGGTGCGACTGCCTAAGAATTGCAGTAATACAGGAAGTCACGTACTGTGTGTCAACACAGTGTTTGGACAGATGAGGAGAGTACCTATTTGGTTTTAGTTGGTGTTCCAGTACCACTGTACAAATAGTAAACATTTTGCTGCAGAGATGCTTTAATTAACCAGCAGGTCATACTTTTAGGAATCTTTAGTCAGTTCTTGCACCCTCTCTTTCATCCTTCTTGCATTGTCTTAACTGGATGTAGATACTTGCTGCCATAGGAAAATGCATGTGATAAGAGAATTACAAGTAGGACTTTGCCAAGTGTTAAATCGCCCAGACATCTGGAGTGCCTAAATTTGGCGTTTCATGGGAAAACTACCAGTTCTTGATCTAAAAATTTTTGGAAAGTAAAATCTATTGAATAATCTTTACTGGTAAACTACTCGGAAATTACTTTATTGCATAGTGGTGCTACAGAATTGGTTAAATGATCACGTACCTAAAAATTAATGCTTTGTTTTCCCTAATCATGAGAATTGTCATGTTTCATAAGAGGACTGGTATTCTGTTATGAGATCCATATTTGTGTAACGTCACTCTTTCATTAGTTGTTCATTGCATTTTATTGTTGCAGTTCTAACATGTCTGTTGTATATGTATGTACAGAATATCACATTGCTTACATTTCTTTGCTGCTTTCATGCTGAAGGTGTATGTCTTAAATCAGATTTTAAACTGCATGTTAAAAAATTCTTGGGTGGAGGTAAGTGATAGGGAAACCTGTTAATGTTTCAGTGCTTGTTTCAGAAAGCCAGCTAATTTGTGATATACTGTATGTTCACATCTCTTGCATTATCACTAGAACTGATCTTTCCTGTGAGCTCCTACATGGCTCCTCTAGCTGACATGCCAGTATTTATCAAGGTGTATGGGTTGGTGTTTTCACTAACTGTTGTGTTGTTGCATTGTTAACAGTTCGCATGGACTCATGTCACTTTGCTGATCACTGTAACTCAATCTCATCTTGTCATCCAAAATCTCTTTGAAGGCATGATCTGGTAAGGGGACAGTAATAAACTGATTCATAATTTTATTGTATTGAAAGGTTGGTTCTTTTCCATAGCAGATCTGGTTAGGGAATAATTGTGGGAAGAGTTAAAGCAGCACAAATTAAAGTCATGTTGGAAAGAGAGTTGAAGGAATCTGGAGCAATGAGGTAAAGGATACAGGAAAGATAGCAGAAACCTCTTTAGCTAGATTGGCAGCCAGAAGTATGATAGTTTTGAACAACCACTTTATTTACCTGCAAGGAATAGGATTACTTCCATGCTTGGTGAAATAGTTTCCATAGCATTTTGCTGAATGGATGAACATTCAGCAATTCTTTTTCTATTACTTGGGAGCTTCAGGTTGCTCAGAGCTATTGAAATTGGAGCATTTAATCTGAAATCCCAAATCTGGCTGCCTTCTCTGCCACCTTCCCTGTTCAGATAAATTCAGATTACTTATACTTGAAGAGTTTAAATTTTGGATGTTGCTGGGTCATATTAGTGCCCTATTTTCAGCTATATATTAAATTCTGATGATGCAGATAAACTTGATTACTTAAAATTGCTCCTCAAAGAAAAGCAGTGGTGTTTTCCTACCCCCCACCTCTTTAGGGCAAGGGTAACTTACAAGTTGAGAAAGAAGGAAAAAGCACATGGAAGATGATTTGTGTGCTTCCAAGGACATAATACTTCATGCTTTCCTTTTTCTTTTTTCTGATATATGTACAACTGGGGAGATTATTGCAGAAAAGATGTGCTCATAGTTATATAGAAAACCCAAAACTTTTGACAGAGTTTGTGTAAACAAACTGTTTTCATAGCAATCATGTTCACATGCTAAAAACTGAACCTTGTTGTTTTGCTAGCCTACTATTTCTTAGTTCCACTGGTGCTATTATTGCACAACAGGCAATTTGGCAAATGGTTACAAAATCTGACTTTTAGCTTATTAATACATCCCTGCTTTGAATGGAGGAAAAAAGCCAACAGATGTTAACAGGCTTGAGTAACAGATTCAGATGCTATCTGCATGCCAAGAACATTTAGGAAGTTAACACAGGCTGCTCCAAACTGACAAGAGGAGGAAAAGGAAAACTTTTTTCCTAAATTTAGGATTACTAAACTTTATAAGGAATTTGCTTGCTTTGATGTTACCAAAAACATTAACTTGTTTATACCTGTTGATTTCTTCTTAGCTGTGGTACCAGTCTTCAAGCCTGATAGGAAAAAGCCAGCATATTTATGGTTTAAGGTCATGCACCAAAATAATATTTTAACTTGAACTGACATGGATCTGTAATGGTCTTGATTGGCTGAAGACTAAAATCAGTACAGCTAAATATGCTGCTCATGGGGGAACTAGGTGAACACGTTATGAAACATAATTCCTTCTAAATACTACAGAAAAATTATCCAGAAATAAATGCTGTTTCAATTTCTGACCTGTGTTCAGGCAGCTTTTCTTTTTCTCCATGAAGCTTTTTTTTATGTCTTCCTCTAGGTTTCTGGTTCCAATTTCAAGTGTTATCTGCAATGATATTACCGCTTACATTTTTGGATTCTTCTTTGGCCGAACTCCATTAATTAAGGTATGTACTTAGGCACTTCCTCACTAATAAGCTTTTATAGTTTATAGCATTTTTGATACTTGTTCAAAAACATGTTTATGGAAAAATTACTTTCTGCTGTACTGATACACATCTTTGCTAAAAACCAGATTGACTATCCTGTTTCTGAAGATTTGTAAGTGGAAACTGGGATTAATGGGAATGTAATATTGACATCACAGTATAATAAAGTTTGAGTCTATTGCATCATCATTATTATCACTTACTTTTTGGATTTCATATGCAAGTTTAACTGCATGCTTACTGTACAGAAACTGTTCTTTGAAATAAGACACTATTTAATATATTCCTATTCCTCATCTAATCTCGTTGATGTAGCACTGAGAAGGGCTCGAGTAGTAATCTTCCAATTCTGGTACAATATGCAAGACCATACAGAAGGCCATGAATTACTATTTTCATGATGTTGATTAATTTTTGGGTATTTAGTTGGTTCTGATATTAAACTGCTCCTGAATTGTGAATGTGATAGAATTTGATGAAGAAAATAGCTTGTGATGCTGGTCTCTCTAGTCTTGCAGTTATTTGCTGTATTAGTTTGCCAGCCTGTAAGTGAGAAGCTTGTATCTCCCAAGGAGCATCTCCAGCAGTAGTTGTCTCACATCTAGACTTCTGTTGCTATCTGAATGTGAGCTTGCTAGCAGAAGTCTCCAGCAGAGATGTAGCGTGCTCATGCAGTTTTACAAGTCGTCGTCTTGAAGGAGCTCGGCTGCTCAATCAGAGGCAGACAGCAGCCTCCAGACGGCAGCAGCAGATGGGAAGGGAGCTCTCTGTTCCCTCAGCTGCCCAGTGACACAAACCAAACTTCGGCACTTTCCCTTCTTGCCTGGGACAAATCCTAGCCATACTTCTCTATTTATCATATTCAGTGGCTGAAGTGGCTGACATTCAGTATTTCACACATACCTTTGAAAACCCTAGTAGGAACTTAATTTTTGCAAACAAGGTCCGGAAATAGAGTAAAAAGAGGTTCTCTGATGCAATTGATGAGGCTAACAATCTCTCTTTTGTGCCTAGCTGTCTCCCAAAAAGACCTGGGAAGGGTTCATTGGAGGCTTCTTTTCCACAGTTGTATTTGGATTTATTGTAAGTAATCACAGGATTTTACTTGTGTAGATTCAGTCTTCAACTTCTTAGTTCTATTTGAATTAAAGTTAATGACAGATTCGCTCATCTCAAACTGCTGAAAGCCTAGGAGTTAGAGGGTTTTTTATGGATAGAGAATTCTGCCAATTTGTAACTAGCTGGAAAAGCTAGGCAAGGCTTACACCTCTCCTGAACTTTGACCAACATATTGACCATTTTTTGTTATTGCTGCTACTATATCTGGAACTGTTTTATCTATTAATTGCATCCCTATTTTGAAATTGAAGTTTATTGATAGCATTATTTATGGTTTGTAAAGTAGTACTTTTTATTATATGCTTTGTGATGACATTTCTCCTGAGAGAACGCCCACAGGTTTAAACAGGTAGTTTACACTGACAATATGCACAGAAGATAACAACAGCATACAGTAACTGTTCTGATAAGTAATTTATTACCAATAAATAGTAATTCATCGTTCAGCAGAACTTGCAACTGCCAAACTTGGTAGAAGCAGTAGTTCAAGTTTTAATGGGAAGTGAACTGCAAATAAATTATGAATGACTAAAATTTTGGGATTTTATAATGCAGAAATATCCAGTAGATATGAATCCAAGAGATATGAAAAGGTAAACAAGTTGGGGAGTCATCACTAAGCACACTGAATGCCCTTATTTGTCTGCCTCACTGAGGCTTTCTTCAACTTAACAAACGGGCCAATTTTACTCCATTCTGGGTCTCTTTGTTATTAACAACATTTTTGTAATGCTCAGCTTGTGATGACAAAGCTATCTATTACAATATGATTTTTAACTGTATGATTTTTGACTGCAACAACAAATGCCTATTTTAAGAGTCCTTGTTTTGCTTTTCAGTTTTCCTATTTTTTGGCTCAACATCAGTACTTTGTCTGCCCTGTGGAATATAACAGTGAAACTAACAGATTTGTGACAGAATGTGAACCTTCAGAGCTCTTTCAGATGAAGAAGTACTCTGTGCCACCATTGCTTCAAGCTGTGTTGGGATGGGTAAGGAAAAAAAGCAAGGCTTTGGTTAAAATTGAAATTGTACTTCCCAGCTTGAATGGTTTTCTAAACTTTTTTAGAAAGGTATATGAGTGCTGGTAACATCTGTATGGTGAGAACTGACTTAATACCCTGAACATCTCTCTTGGTGAGATGGGGGAGGTGGTCACCCAATGAAATGCATTGCTGGAGACACCTGAGGAAACCTGCCTGTGTTCTTGTGGCCTGGATTCTCTTTGTGCTGGAAATAGATGTCCCTTAAACATTTTTCAGGCAAACCTATGTTTGAAGAGCAACTTTTACATTTTTGTGGAAGGTGGACAAAGGCTTGTTATGACCCATATTAGTAGTAAGCTTAAGTAATCTTCTTCATAGAACTTCATTCCATTTTCAGCCAGTGTGCAACTGCTGTTAGGATTGGACTCTTGCTGTCTTCATCCCACACCATCTTGTGCGTTAGTGCCACTACTTCTGTGCTGAGTGAAAAAGGAGTACCAGTAAGACAGTTTCATGTAATGTAGTCAACGACCCTTTTCCTCACACCCAGCCTGCAAATTCTTTTAAGTGAGATGTTGCATCTTTACCTGCCAGGAAATAGGTTGTCAAATATCCTACCATAAAAAGCAGCGCTTCAGGAGTCACAGGCTCCAGAGGCACTCCAACAGGATGAGAATACCAGAGACAAACAAAGTCTGTCATCGCCTTTCCTTTAGGGCAAAGAGGAGGTGACTGGGACAAACACAGAACAAGTGAGTTCTGTATCACTCCCCTCACCTATGCAGTGGCTCAGCACAGAGAGTGCACAGCACCAGGGAAGGCAGCAGGCTTTACTTGTGGTTACAGGGGTGTAGCACTCAAGGACAAAAGTTGACGCAGGCAGCACAAACTGGAAACTGTAGCAACCAAACCTAAGACTAAAAGCAATTAATGGCTTCAGTTTGTGCTTAGACAAGCCAGATTACATCTACAAGGATCTTCTATATTTTCATGTCAAATGAACGTACTGTTGCTTCAGGGACTGTCAAGTTGATTGCAAATTCAAGAAGGATTTTTCTGCACAAAACCAAAATGTCGACTGAGCAGAGAGAAATCTTACTATGTCTAGCTATATTACATATTTTGGTAAAAGGCAAGAAGAAGGGAATGTCCAGCTCTGTGCCAGTCTAGTAGAGAGCTATAAGTTAACCCTAAAAAGAGATGGTAGCTCTGCTTGCGCTTCTGGAGTACTTTTACCAGGCTGTAACAAGCTTTTTAGGAGACAATTAGCTTTAGCACTCTTTATAGAAAGTCAAATTGAATACACATGTCTAGGCAACAGTCTGGTTTTGTTTTTCCCCTGTTACTCAATTCTTGATGTCCTCTCTCAGAAATACGACCAGATATGACACTTCAAGTCAAGTTTCCTTGGTGTCAAAAGATGTCAAGCTTTGTGTTCTCCCAATAAAACTAACTTAATTCCAACTCAAAAACTTTTCAGTTTAACCAACTGAATAATTTAGCCTAACTGAAAGGTATCTTAAGACAACTGCACAAAGTAGTCAAGAAGTTAATTGGTGTTTGCTGGCTGCAATACAAATCAGAAACGTAAGGTACAGGATTTTTCAGCTACAGATAGTGTTTATCAAGACTTGCCAGGTGAGGTGTGCTCTGCTTTTAGGAATGTTGCCAGCATAGCATTCCCACAAAGGCTGGAGCTGGTGCCATTGACTTGAAAGTGCTCTAAGTTACAAGAACCCCCCTCAGAAAGCAGAAAATGCAAACAAATGAAAAAACCCACCCTAATAATAACACCACCACCACAACAATTACAAGCAACAAACCCAAAACACCCCAGCCAACCAACCAAAAAAATTCCCCTTTTTTCTAATCTCTATCAGGTAGGAAAACAGGTACCATATTGCTAACACAATCCCTCTTATTTATAAGAATTTGAACAGATTAAAACAAATATCATGTCTGTGAGCATGCTGAGGGAAGCAATATCTGTTTAAAATGCAAACTAATAAGTATTAATGGAGGTGAACCTTTTATCTCCCATTATTGCTGTATATACACAGAGATGACAGTATGGTGGACTAGTGCAAAATTCATACCTATCTTGTGAGAGCATGAGAAGTGACAGTGAATTGTGAGAAGGTAACATGTTCATGGAGAGCACTGGGCCACTTACTACAGCAGTACTAGAAATTTGTGGAAAGCTCCTTTGTGAACAGGAAATGGAGCTGGAAGAGCAGAGCTGGGAAAGACTACGGAGTCCTGTTGTACGTTATGGAATTAGTATTTATATTCCTTATGATCAACTAAGGGATTGTCTGAAAACGGTGTCATTTTTTAAAGTTAAGTGCTCTAGAAACTGCAGATACTTCATCCTGTTCATGTGAGTAGACCATTTAGCAGCTTTTTACAGTGTGTCTACTCTTCCTTTCTTTACAGTATTACTTTTTTTCAAGGAAAACTGGAGCTTTGTGGAAATTTGTTCTGTAACAGCCCAGTTTTAAAATATTTAAGCTTAAAATGCCTACAGTCAAACATATTGAAATACAGTGCTAATTATTTTTCTTGTAGGAAAGAGTGAATATGTACCCGTTTCAGATGCACAGCATTGCACTGTCAACATTTGCCTCATTAATTGGGCCGTTTGGAGGATTCTTTGCCAGTGGATTTAAAAGAGCTTTCAAAATCAAGGTGTGTAATCACTCCTATAAGCTGGTTTTGTTTTGGTTTTCTCTTTGAGTTAGATAAATTGTTGGGTTGGGTGGTTTGGGTTTTTTGTTGGTTTTATTTTTATTTTTTTATTTTTTTAAGTCACAGATTGTAGTATCTAGTGTTTCTAATAAGGTGTGATGAAGTTTGAGCTGTTTCTTAGCATCAGCAACAGTACGTAGTTTTATCAGATATATGTATGTGATATTCTTAAAACTTCACATAATCAACATGTGACTAGTGTTGGAAATCTAAGAATAACTTCTCTTCATATTTTGGTTGATAATCACTCTTCCAAGTCATGTTGCAGAAGTGGTATAGACAAGGAAGATGTGAGATGCTATACTTGACATGAAAGGCAATCTGCACTAACAGCGGTTTACCCTTCAGATTGGGGCTGGCTGTGTTTTACCAAGAGTATGAATGTTGTACACAGATGCTGATGTGTCAGGTTCACCAAGGCATGAGATGTTTGCCTGCCTTTGCCAATACAGTGCCACCTTGTAACAAGACTGTGTATTGGCAAATGATGTGACGTGCTAACCTCTGTTTATTGCAAGGTGTGCGCTGTTGCTTGTGGCAGTGTTGTCCCTGGCTGGCATTAAGTGGCAGCAGGAGTGTGGGAAGAGGGCAGCCCCAAATTTTCTCCCGACCTTCTTTATGTCTTGGTAGGACTGCTGTAATTCTTATCCTGTTGCTTGTTGTTGTTCTTGCTGTTTCCTACGTCCACCAGTTTTGACATGTGCTTTGCACAGAAGTGTATAAACCTCTCTGTTTGTGCTGAACTCCCATACATGTGCTTGTATTCACATCCCTTTCTTATGCCGGTCCAAGCAGCTTGTCTGATACTTTGCTAGCTACAACCCTGGGCGCTGTCTTACCTGTATGTCCAGATAGCAAAAGACTGTGTGAGAAAGGGCTTTTTTGGGGAAAAAGTGCTTCTGAAAAGAAAAGTAGAACATTAAACTAGATGTTTTTCTTAATGACTCTGGGCCCCAAGGTGGTGACCAAAGGACTGTCGAGAGAACAGGGACATTGTGGAATGGTTCCCGAAGGCAGCGCATAGGTTAGGTTGGACACTCCATGCCTGCTCAGCATTGGAAGGCTGGATCGCAGCATCAGCACAGGATTAATTTAACTTGCTGGCAGTTGCCTCATACGACTCAGGTCAGAGTTTTCACCCAGCGAGTGACTGAGGAGGACAAAAAGGTTACATGGGGGTAGCTTGACTGATAAAGCTGTTCTACAAACAGTGTCGGATAACATAAAGGTAGCATATTGAGCCTTGTTTGCATCAGAAATATTTTAAATAGTTGTAATACTTTTTTCAGTACAGGGCTTTTTGATTCCATTAAATATATTTATATTGTATGCACACATGATTTTTAGCTATGGTTACTAAGAAGCCAGTGGGGGGGGGAGGGAAAGGCAGATGAATGGGCAGTATGACTTGCAAAGCTGGTGTTAGACAGTGGAAAGAGTCCTCAGGTTACTGCATCTCTTGCAGCAAATGTATATTCCCTGGTAACAAGTGCTTCAACAGCAGCTACCAGTAGAGAATAAAGCAATAAAAGTGTTAAAGAGGAGAATTAGATCCTGCAGAGGCAAGAAGCGATAGCCATTAGCTAAAGAGGCTTGCTGCAACATGAAGTATGTATAGACATACAAGTGTACTCAGTACTGGCAAACCTGCACCTGATCTACCACTGTCTTCCAATGTGTGACTGTGGACAAGTAGCTTCATCTCTTCTTTTTCTTCTTACCCTTTGACTCACCTTTGCAGTTAAAAACTCCTTTAGGAAAGGAAGCTCTTGCTAACTTTTGACTCAGTGCAGTGAAACTGTAGCTTAATTGCAGCCTTAATGTGCTGCTGTCAAGTGATATATCGTTAGTGCATTTCATCTGAATTGCTGACCATGGTGGTTGTTTTGGCTTGTTTTTCTTCCCCACCTCTGTCCTTCACACCCAAAAGGATTTCGCAGATACAATCCCTGGGCACGGTGGGATAATGGATCGCTTTGATTGTCAATATTTGATGGCCACTTTTGTTCATGTCTATATCACCAGCTTCATAAGGTATGGGCTTTTTAAAATACTAACTGCTTAAGCTTGTGTAGGAGCTGTACCATAGTTTATTTCCTAGAAGTTATGTTCTGCACCAGTAGCATAGTGAAGATGGCAGGTTTCTAATTCTAATTTACATAATGATTTCAAATACAGAGATATTAAGAAAACATATGTCACTGCCTAGGATTTGTGTGAGGTTATAGCTATGCCTTAATGTTGCTGTGACTGCTGTTAAAGGTAACCTGTGTACCCTAAATGCCAGGAAGTTTTGTGTAGCAGCCTCTTAGAAGTTTTGCTGGAATTTACTGATTACAGGAAGGTATGAGGATGGGGTTTCGGTGGTTCCTGAAAAGCCTGTAGGTTGCGAAGCTGCAGTTCTTCCCAGAAGTTTCAGTATTTCTATCACTTGACTTGGGATTTTCCATTTAAGATAAAAGACTCTGGTTAAAGAGAGGAGACAGCTTCTTAACAATACTGCTCATCTTCCCTGATCTGCATGAGTGTTCAAGAGGATATCATAAGAATGACAATTCTTGTAACAGTCAGTCATTGTAGTTCCTGGGGCAGGGCAGGGATCAAGGTAAGGGACCGTGGGTGTCCAAAGTGATACATGCCCTTAGTTTTGTAAATGCATAAGGCTAAATAATTATTAGATCGCTAATCAGCAACTTTTTGCCTCATATTCAGTCTGTCTTAGAAGTAGACTGTATAAAAGTGACTAGCTAAAAATGAGGCTGTTATTAGAAAGTCTTGGTTTAATTTGCAGTTTTCTTTTCCAACTTGACCACATTTCCATTTAGTTTAATAGTACACAACTTATCTGGCAACAGATACTAAACTAAAAAACCTGCTGATGAAGAATGTGATTATGGTGATTAAGGATGAATCAGTGAATCTTATTTGTCATAAGGCTTCTTAATATCCCCAAATGCAATAAATGTTTTTAGTGTCTGTTCAGATTGAGCTAAGAAGAATGCTTTGCCAGTAATGCTCATCCATGCATCCTGAGGAGATAGACTGGGAGAAATCCATATCTTGGTATCCTCAAAAAAGGGAAGGCATTTTTTGTGCAGCACAAATGTGCAGGAAAATGGAAAGCTGTTGAAAAGTTTATTTAGAGCTGCTGCTTACAAAAAAAATGTCTTTTTTGATTGACAGAGGTCCAAATCCCAGCAAGTTACTGAAACAATTGTTGATACTTCAGCCAGAGCAACAACTAAGTGTGTATAAAACACTGAAATCTCACCTCACTGAAAAAGGAATCCTGCAACCATCTCTGAGGGGGTAGTCTGTTGAAACAGAGTACTAGAAGAAACCTCCGTTTACAAGAAGCCTGTGGAAAAGCGTTGCAAATGTGCACAGAGAGAATAGCTAGAGGAAGAAGAGTTTGTGGTTTGGAAGAGGTGAATGTTTGCTGAGATGAACATGAATGCTGTGACTTCCTATTAGGACACAGAAGATCTACTCCTACCATAATTAAAATGCTTGCAAAGTAACAGTATATGTGCTGTATATTTTAGTTCCTGAAGTGGATGGCAGCAGTCTTCCTTCAGCACCCAGCCTGACAGGCTTTGTATTTAAAAAAAAACAAAAAAATCACCATTAGTTTTTAATGAGTTATTTAATATTTTATGTCTTAACAATACTATTTCGGTCTCCAGTGGTTAGTGAAGCATAAACAGTTGAGGCAGGTGGTCACTCTTTTATGTAGACTAGTGCAGAAATTACAGCTGGCCAGAAAATACTTGTTAGTCCAGTCAAAGAGGTAGTTACAGCCTGCTGTATTAGACTACCTGTATTTACTAAATCACTATGAAGGTTAGACTTAGCTCTGTTTTTAATTAAAATGCTTTCTTACGAAATTATTTCATACTTTCAAGAGAAAAGTACCTTTACTGAAGTATAGTTGGGCTGTGGAGCTGCTGGTTTTTTGGTTAAAGTTATGGATTTATAAACAAGTGTCTTCATCCAAGAGTAGAGATTACCTGAGAAAATGGGGTTCTTCAACCCAGTATAAAGATTGGAGAGAATCTGGAGTATAAACCCTTGGTTTCCACAGCATGGTCAGTGTCTGAAGACAGTAATTAAAGCCTTATTCCTTGTGCCTCTTAACTACCATGTAGAATTGGAGGTATTTACTTCTTTTTAAAAGCACTTTTGAGGTCCTGAGTAAAAAGTGAAGTACCATTTTATTAACGTTAGTAAAGTCAGAAATTTTTATCTCATGAATGTGCACAGTGCAAGACAGGATACATGGTTCTTCTGCTGCATGTTATTTATTAAGAGGATCCTCAAGCAAGCTTGAGCAACCACATAGACATTTGAATGGAGAATTTTTATAGGAAGCAACTATTCTGTAGACTTAATGGGGCATACGAGGAAAGCTGATTGCTAATTCTCAGTCCTAGCTGTTAAGTTTTTTTCATCATGTGACATGTCTTGATGCATCTAAAAATATAAACTTCTTTTGAAATTATGACAATTATTCCTGTACAAAAGGAAAGCACAAATGCCAGTTTTGTTTTGGTATACTGTAACTTGATACAATTTAATTTTTCCAACCAGTTGTAAATAAGTTTCTCCTGCAGTGGACGTACTGATGCCACATATGTGTATGTTTCTGTATATATATAAATATTAAAAGGTGTATGTATATATAGGTATTAAAGATGAAAATGTTAAATGGCTCATGATACTTGAGGCTAAAATAGTGGAGGAAATCACTAGGGTGGTTGATAAGCGGGATCTTGTAAAATTCAGACAGCCTTTGTTGAATACCATGCAGCTGAGAGCAGTGTGCACTCTGTTTTGCACTTAGGCCATGGTAGTGCGTGTACAGCTTGTGCATGGAAAAGCACCTCTGTACATGGCTTTGAAATAAAACCCAGGTCTAAAGTAACTCCTGTTGATGTCAGGGATTTGACAGATTTAAATTACCTGTGGTACTTCCTACAGCTGACCTGGAGATTGCAGTACTGTGGTGAAGGAACACTCCGGGAGGTGAAAAACATCCCCAGCTGCTTGTCCCTCAGTGACTTGGGTTATTAATTGCAGGGAACCAAATTTTGGCCCTTATGCTGAAAGGGCTGCATACACTGAGCTTAAAAAACAGCACTGCCAGGAAGTGATACATGTGGAAAGGTGCTTTAAAAAGAAGGGAAGGGAAAATGAGAGGATGACTAAAGTAGCATACCTGGAAAACTTAACTTGTAGATGAGGCTTTGGTTATGTATGGGACCTTGGTAGATGTTTATGAAAAAACACAGCTGTATTGGAGTTGGTATATCTTTATCCTGGATATTTAAAAAAAAAAAAGGAAGGAAAACAATAAAAATTATATATAGAATATATATATA